ATGATTTCATAGAAAAGAATTGAACAGAAATCGAATTAAATTGGTATTATAATAACCTCAAAGTGATGGAACCCGTAAGCAGTAGGATTTGCCTTGAGAATTAGTTTTCCATTACAATCGTAAAAAGCAAAGTAAAATTGTGAAAAGAAAGTAAAGTGATAGTAGTATGGTTGTTAGGTATAAGAAAGCATCAACACTTCTGGTTTTAACCCGACTAGGTCGAAAAACATTTAAAAAAAACCCGGCCCAAAACTAAATATTTCAAACGCCAGATTTCGGGTCCTGACTTCAACGAATTATTTTGACCTGATACACTTCGAATCATCCTCTACTTCAAATATAAAAGGTGTAGCTCTCTGTCTTAACTTTCCAACGCCTGTTAGAACATGCAAATTCGGTTCTCGCAGCTCCAGTTATGATTCAAACAGTGGACAGATATCAAATAACCGCTAAAGCTAAAAATAAGCTGCGAAAATAAAATAAAGGTAAAAACAAACTTAAATATGAAAACACATTAAAATAGTAAAAATACTCAAACAAACTGTAAGAATTCCTAAATATAGCAATGGAAAAATGTGTATGAAGATGTACTAATCAGAGATCATCATATTCCCCTTGTTGATTAAAAATATGAAACCCAAATTTAAGACATTGAAAATATAAATAAAAAAAAAAATTATATTAAAATATAAGATATTGAAAATATAAAAAAGGTTTATGAAATTCAAATAGATTTTACATTTTTTTACATTGTACAGTTAAACTGTTTTAGAAATTAATTATAGTTTAAAAATAGTATTATAAATATAAAATATGTAACAAATGTAATTTTAGGTGACCTAAGCTGTATACGTACAATAGGTAATATGAAGTAAAAAATGATAGGACCTCACAAGTCTGTTGTTACTTTCTGCAAGATGTTGATATGCTTTCCTATATTAAAATCTATTCATTTTTACAAATCCTCAACAAACAAAAAAATCAATGCAAAGTATCATATGCATCTCATCATCACACTCCTCATCAATCAAAATCCTAGTCTGTGAATCTTTCAAAGCTTGCTCCATTAACTTGATGTAAAGAAACAAATCTTTAATATCAAATCTCACTTGAAAATAATTGCCCAAAATTTTAAAATCAAAGATACAGACTTCAGAACTAATGATCTTCACATGAAAATCAAAATCAGATCAAAACATAACTGAAGCTGAATGAATTAAACTTTATAACTTTTCAAAACCAAAATCTTTTTAATAAAGCAACATTAAATACAACCAAAACTTGAGTGCAGCTAAATCATAAGTTTTTGCTACTTTTTCTTCCTTATCATGACCACCTAATAATAATGGAAAAATAAGTTATTAGTTGCCAAAAGTCATAAATAAATTTTGAGAAAAACCAAACCAAACCAAACACACCTTCCAGAGCTTTATATTTGATTAATGAATCTAATCAAATCTTAGTAAAGAATTAATGAGAGAGAGATGTAAAACTTACCAAGGTAAACTGTGACAGATTTAAAGAAGCCATGAAAAAAGAAGTCAACAAAACCTTAGTCAATGACAACATAAACCAAAAAAACATTAAAATAATAATTTAAAAAAAACATATATGTTTGTTTCACCTTGTCTTCCTTTCCTTGTTTGTATTTATTTTCAAGTACAAAAACCTTACCCAAAAACAGTGTAAATAAGTATTCAACACACAAAATCAAATATATTGTTAGTAAATAATCATGTAAATTAATGTAAAATGAAACAAATTTACCTTGACAAAAGTTGAACGGTGTTGATAAGAAAGAAATGAAACATTGCGAGAGGAAAACTGGAAAACAGAGTGAAAAAGATATCAAGTGAAAGGAAAAATAATGAAATATTAAAGCAAAAAGTGAATAGACAAACCTTGTAAGTACGAAGATGGGTGTTGATTTCAGATCTGAGGGTTTTGATATAAGATCTGATGATTTTGATACCACATCTGATTGTTTTGATTTTAGATCCGTTGAAGCCATTTCAATCACAGTAAAATCTGGAAAAAAAAGCAATAAAATTAGTAAGCAGAAAACATAAATGGTGAAGGAGAGAGTGGAAAGGTAAGAAAGACTTAGAAGAGAAAGTGAAATGTGTGAAAGATGGAAGATGAATAGCAAAATAGAAAGACAAAGTTAGAAAGATGAAACTTAGAAAGAGAAATTTATGTTAGTGATGTGAAAGATGAAAGTTGAAATTGAAAAAGTAGAAAAAAGGAGATATAAGCAAAATAGGAAATCTGATAAAAAGATATATGAACCAAAAGTTGATACATGACAAATTAAATTAAAATGAGGCTTATGAAACTATCCACGTGTCGAAAGGAGAAGGCAGAAGGGTGTTTTGGTATTTTTCAGAACATTCGTTTTTCTTATATAATAGATGATATAGAACACAATAGCTGAAATCTAACCAAATAAAATATATATAAATATTACTCTCAATATATATATATATATATATATATATATATATATATATATATATATATATATATATATATATATATATATATATATATATATATATATATATATATATATATATATATATATATATATATATATATATATATATTTGGTACTTAAGAGGGCGAAAAAGCTTAAAGAAAAGAAAAGATTACAAAAAGACTTCCCTCAAGGAAGGCTTCTCTTCAATGTAATCAACTAAGAGTTTTTCCACAAAATTTGGAGCATATGAAAACATAATTAACTCCGTATCTAAACGATATAAAGTCTTGGCCAAGGCATCCACATACCTGTTTGACTTTCTAAAACTGTGAGTCACTGAGGTGAAATCAAACCTACTCAGAAGACTCTCTATCTTCCTAAGTATAACAATTCCTTCAACTCTCCTGGTCTTCCCATGATTGATATTCGTTACAAGCTCAATTGAATCTATATTCACTTTCACTTTCTTGATTTCCAAATCTAAAGCTAAAATCAAATCTTCATATACCCCTTCTAGTTCCGCCAAGTAACTACTACCAATATCCAATTTTTTTGCGAACCCTCCCACCCAGCCACCATACTCATCTCTGATTAATCTCCCACAACCAGAAGCTACACCTTTCATAAAGGCACCATCCACATTTAGTTTCACCATCCCCTGCTTAGGAGGAACTCAATTGATAATCTACATCTTCTTATTCCGGCCCTCGACCTTCTTACCCATTAGCATCGCTTGATCATACTTCTTCAGCTTCTTATCAATAACCAACGAGGTATTCCTAGGCCGCAAAAGTCCTGATTATGCTCTTCTTGATTCATCAAATACCAAAGTGAATGACAAGCAAAAGCCTAATAGAAACTCCACTTTTCCATATCCACATTAGCATAATTAATATTCAAATTAACCTAAACATCCAACTCCAAATTCTGAAATTTATTTTTGATACTTAGTGGAACTCTACTATTCCACACTTCCCAAGCAACTCTCAATATATTTTTATTATATAATTTTTTAAACTTGTTCAGACACACACATATTTAATTAGTATGCCATTTAAACTCTAAGACCAACTCCAATGGGAGTTCTTAGAGTGGGTTTGTCAACACGGCACTCATAAAGTGGGTTTGCCAACTTGCCATGTTGTTCACCGGTTCTTATTTATGCAATCTTCTTCAACGGTTCTTATATTAAAATATTGATTTTATAATATGAAAACTATAAATTTATATAAAATTTTATTTATTATTTTAATTATCATACGAAAACTATAATTATAATATTAAAATATTAATTTTATAATATGAAAACTATATTTTAATTATCATTTTAAATTATAAGTTTAATTTGAATTTTATTTATTTTATTTATTAAAATATTAATATATAAAGTAAAGTTGTGGGGACCCAATATGAGTTCTTCAGAGTTGCACCATTGGAGTGAAAAATTAATTGAGTTGTTTCAAACTGCCCTTAATAGATCCCACAAAGAACCCAAAAATGGGTTCACGGTTGGAAATGGTCTAAAATATTTTTACGATTTTCAAAGAGTGGGTTCAAATATAGAAGAAACATATTACCGTATTAAATTAATGTTTTAAAATTGAATTGTTTTAGAGTTGAAAAGTAAAATGATTTTGTTTTTTTATAATTGGTGAAAAAAGTCAGTCGAATATTTAAGTTATAAATATAATGATGTTGTAATCTTCCTAGAGCTCATTTTGTGCTCTTTTTCAATCAAATTGCTTATTGAAAAAGAAAAAAAAAGAGTTTTTCACATTTCTAATTATAATATTTGACAAGAAAAAAAAAAAAGAAAACAAACAAAAGAAAACCAATAAAATAAGAAACTGCAATCTGTGTCGACACCCCAGCACAGTACGAAGAGACACTGAGCTGACTTTACTTTACCACATTTCTATGCAACTTTGCCTTTCTTTCATCAGATTGAAAATCCAAACTTCAAACCATCCGAATGATCTCTCTATATCAATGAACCTCTTCCACTTTCCTCTCCGCTCCTCAACCGATCACTAACACTGTAAGTTGAAATTGTGTTTTTTCTACTTCTGGGTTTTGATTTTTTTCATGGTTTTGAGCTTTTAGGCTATCTGGGTTTCTGTGTAAATCTTCAAAATCTTAGCTTTATTATTTTTTAATGTTAAACTGAAAAATTCTTATGTTGAATTTTTCTGAAACAGAGCCATAATTATAACAAGGATATACATACCTTTTGTACTTCGAAGTTTGAGGATCTTAATTTGTCCATCAGAGAAAACAAAATTGTTTGAATTCTTATATTATATGGATGAAATTCTGAACTTGAATCATGTTGTTTTGCGAAGTTCTTAGCATGCTTGAAACTTAGGTTATCATGTTTACTTACTATTTTGTTCATGATAAATTGATTCATTTAAATTGATGTTCTTTCTCGCTGTCATGAGTTTGAATTAAACTAAAGAGCGTGTGCTTAATTGATGTCTTTTATTGTTCAAAAAGAATACTGTTTTAGGTTAATCGAAAGATGGAGCGTGCGAGACTTAACCCGAGGGTTCGTTGCTCTGGTTCAACTCCTTCAGAAGAATCTGCTTTGGATCTTGAAAGAAACTGCTGTGGTCATTCTAATCTACCTTCACTTAGTCCACCCACACTTCAACCTTTTGCTTCGGCCGGACAGCATTGTGAGAGCAATGCTGCGTATTTCTCGTGGCCTAGCCGCTTGCCTGATGCTGCTGAAGAGAGAGCAAACTACTTTTTAAATCTACAAAAGGGGGTCCTACCTGAAACACTTGGTCGTCTTCCGAAGGGTCAGCAGGCAACCACGTTACTTGAACTCATGACAATCAGAGCCTTTCATAGCAAGATATTGCGTTGTTACAGCCTTGGAACAGCTATTGGTTTTCGTATTAGACGAGGGGTGTTAACAGATATTCCTGCCATTCTGGTGTTTGTTTCCCGGAAAGTTCACAAGCAATGGCTCAGCCCAATCCAGTGTCTTCCTACTGCCCTCGAGGTACTTGGAGTTCTTAAACTTAATCTCGTGTACATACGCGACATGTATATTGGTTGTAATTGATAGTGTCTACTACTGCTGCAGTTACAATAGATGTTTAATTTGTAAATCAGGGGCCTGGTGGAGTATGGTGTGATGTAGATGTGGTGGAATTCTCATATTTCGGTGCACCTGAGCCAGTTCCAAAAGAGCAGCACTACACAGAGATTGTGGATGACTTGCGTGGAGGTGATCCGTGCATTGGTTCAGGATCTCAGGTGCTTCTTTGCTCTCTTATTTAATGTTTCATACGAAAGCACCCACCTGGTTTATGAAAGAATATCTTTTTTCAATTAATACCATATATATGATGATTAAAGAAGCATTTTAAGCGTAATACTTGTCAATCTCGTCCAATAAAACACCAGGGTGTAATTTGATGCATGTTTATCTTTCAGTTCCTATTGTTGTGCTCTATTTGATGAATATATTTGAACCTCTGTCCGCGTACTTCCTTAATCCAGGTGGCAAGCCAGGAGACATACGGAACTTTGGGTGCCATTGTTAGGAGCCAGACAGGTAGCCGGCAAGTTGGTTTTCTCACAAACCGTCACGTAGCTGTCGATCTAGATTATCCGAATCAAAAGATGTTTCATCCTCTTCCACCCACACTAGGGCCTGGGGTTTATCTTGGGGCTGTAGAGAGAGCGACTTCATTTATAAATGACGAGCTTTGGTATGGAATATTTGCTGGAATAAACCCAGGTAACAAAGTCGCAGGAGTCTGCTTGATTTAATCTGGTCGCTTCCATTCTTTTTGCTACACACACTCATCATGCCACATGATGTGTTTCTCCTGCAGAGACGTTCGTGAGAGCTGACGGAGCATTCATTCCCTTTGCTGATGACTTCGACATGTGCACTGTCACTACCTCAGTAAGAGGTGTTGGAGATATCGGTGATGTGAAAATTATTGACCTACAGTCTCCAATTAGTAGCCTTATCGGAAAACAAGTGGTTAAAGTTGGAAGAAGTTCTGGCTTGACCACGGGAATTGTTTTGGCGTATGCTTTAGAGTACAATGACGAGAAGGGTATATGCTTTCTAACAGATTTTCTCGTTGTCGGTGAGAATCAACAAACTTTTGACCTTGAAGGAGATAGTGGAAGTCTCATCATGTTTAAAGGTGACGACGGTGAGAAGCCACGCCCAATTGGGATCATTTGGGGAGGGACTGCTAATAGGGGACGCCTTAAGTTAAAAATCGGGCTACCTCCTGAAAATTGGACTAGTGGCGTTGATCTAGGACGTCTTCTCAATCTACTTGAACTTGATTTGATAACAAGTGATGAAGGACTTAGAGGTTTGTTCATCCTTCACCATCACAACCTCCACCACCATCTTCATTTTAATTTATCCACTACTTATATACAATGAAAATATGGAGAAATGTTTGAAAATTGTTCTCTGAACTAAAACCAATATTTTTTGTCTGGTGCTGTTTTTGTGTAGTGGCGGTTCAAGAACAAAGGGCTGCTTCGGCTACATTCATGGGCTCTACTGTTGGCGATTCCTCAACTCCTGATGGTATGCTTCCGAAAGATAGAGCAGAAGACAAATTCGAGCCACTCGGTCTTCAAGTCCAGTCTATTCCCTTAGGAGTTGAACCTAACAGCCAGGAAACAAAACCATCAATCATGGAGGCTGAGTTTAAATTAGAAGATGGAATCAAGGTAGGCGGTCCCAGTATTGAACATCAGTTTATTCCGAGTTTTGTCGGGCGATCACCGTTGCACAAAAACACAGTGCATGACAGAGATGCGGCAAAAGAGAATTTGTCTTCGTTGAGGAATGGATGCGACGAAGATTTATGTGTTTCGCTGCAGCTTGGTGATAATGAAGCGAAGAGAAGGCGTTCTGAGGCATCGACTAGTACTGAGGAACCTTAAATGAATCAAATTATTAGCATAAGCTTGAAAAACTGACATGTTACAAAGTAAATCAACCTAGAATGTGTTGCTTATGACCATTGGGATACTGTATTCATGATTTAGCAGCTGACAGTGGCAAATGATATCAGTGAAACTCATATTATCTAAGAAGTTTTAAGTGGATTGTGGTCTTGGACAGCCATTCAGTTCTTGCAATTGTTTAGTTTTTTGGCTTCTTGCTAGACCACGCACTCTAAGTATTTTTAAAGAAATGGTCTTGTCAACTTGGGCACATGTTAAAGAATACTACAAAATACTACAAAAGTAGAAGTTTTATATTAACAATACAATTTTGACTTAAATTAACTTTTAGTCTCCAATTTTAAACCCAAATTTTAAGTCCTTTGTTGTATGACCAGAATGTTAAGGTATTCATAGAGTCAACATCTATCAAGATATAATGGATACAGGAAGCAAAATTTTGAAGAAGCGAGAGAACAAGCTATAGATTATGGACCAAGCTTTGCAGTGTATCATAGAAAATTGATTCAGAGTATATTCTAATTCATTTTTACAAAATTGATTTGTAAGGTGATGAGTCTCACTTTATATAAACTCTTTTAATATTTTATTTTTAACTAATGTGAGACTTAAATTTTCTCAATAGTACCTATTAAAAAACTCATTTCACTTATTATTATTTATAATTTAGAGATAACCAAATGAACGTTAAAACTTCTTTTTTAAATAGTGATTTGGAAGAAAAAAATTATATAGAACAATTTGGAGGATTTGTGGTTCATGTACAAGAAATTAAAAGAAAAAAAGTATATAGAACAATTTGGAGGATTTGTGGTTCATGGACAAGAAATTAAAATCTTTTAAGTTATATAAGTTTTGTTATGATCTTAACAAACTTCTGAACAATGGCATGAAAAATTTGATAAGTTACAAGCTCAAGCTGGACCCGAGTTAGCTGGACAAATGGACCGCGCATGGTTTTTATTATTGACATCACTTTACTTGTTTATAAAATTTATATATCTTTTGGGGCACGCCTCTGTTATAAATATTTAAAAGATGTGAAAGTTGTCCAATGTGAAAATCAATGAGGTTTTTAGTTCACTATCCACATGTGAAATTTAACATTTATTTTGGCAAGTGTTTAATATTAAATGCCTCAACAATCCTCCATTTGAATTTAAAAAATAAAAATAAAAATAAAAAATAGCATCAAACACATCTATAAATTAATACATTGGCAAAAATGTTGAGGGATTTAAACCTTAGCATAACGAGTAAGATTAAAATTTAACAAGAGTGATCGTAGTATTCAACTATATTTCAAACATCAGACCCACATACAACTTTTTTTTTTTGTGTATTTTCAAAAAGCTCGTATTATAATAACCATGCATGTCTATCATAAATTAGTGAAAGCTTTAGGAAACTATGCTTGAGATTCCATAGAAAATGGTTTCAATTTCACGTTCACAAATGTGAGTATTTTCAAAAAATTAGTGAAAGCTCTAGGAAACTTGAAGGTGACAAGAAACACAAGAAAGAGATGTTTGAATTGGATTTCTAAGATAAAACTTTTTCGCACCCAAGATACTCAAATATGAAACAAGAACAAAAATAAATGAACACAAATATTTTTATCCTGATTCACTGTTAATGAAACTAGTCCAGTCTACCCGACAGAGTGATTTTATCTTATCAACTAGGACTTAATTCCCCATAATCAACTAATTACAGACAGACAAGCACTACTCGTCAATGTCTTCTCGAGAATCCTGACTATACCCTAGTCTCTAAAGAAATACAACCTCAAACAATGAGATACAAGAATTGTGTTTACAACGATGCTTCTAAGAAAGCAAATTACGCAAAGTTTAAGTACAATGAAATTATCACACAAAAGCGAATAAAAGATCTATGTGTGTTTTTCTATATTCACAAGAATAACATGTTCAGCAAAAACGTTGTGATGTAGCGTTAACTCAACGCTTCATTCATTCTTCCAAATCTTCTTTATATAGGCAATGAAAAGATTCGTTGTAGGGTATAATAGAAATCTTCACAAATGAGTTGTCACCTTGCATAACGATCTGCAAAGATGGGAGACAAAATGGTACAATAGTACATTCCTTACTTCACAAAATCAGCATAGTGAAAGAAAAATTTGATATTGTACTGTGTACTATTTTTCTCACGTAATACCTTTTGATCTTATCTCCAAATATTTAAAGGCTTCTGAGTAAGTATTGTTGAAGCATGTTTAGAAGGATCAAGAGTCTGGTTGAAAGAAACTTCAGAACCTTGTCTTTAGAGTCTTAACACAGTTCCTTAGAACCCGATCTTCAGAGTCTTCAGAACTTGGTCTTTAGAATCTTGAGAGCTTCATAAAACTTCAGAGTCTCGTCTATCAAAGTCACGGTCAGAAGCTTTAACACAAATGTTCATCAAAATTGTTATTTAAGAGCATTCCAAAACTTAACTTAATCTTGTAAAGCGCACTTTTGTATCTCTTCAGCGTCAAAGTGTGTTGAGTCCATAATTTGATGACGTCGCACGCCAAATCTTCAGAATCAGAACCTGTTAGCAAAAACACACACTAGGCAAAATCATTAGGGTACAAAATTGTTCTTTAAGAAACAATGTATTCTTATCATCAAAACTAAAGGCCAGATGCATAACCAAATATTGTTCTTACAATCTCCCCCTTTTTTATGATGATAAAACTATGTATTTTAATAAATAATTTTTATTTGGCTAAATCATATAGAAACATCAGAGTGAGGTTTGTAAGCTCCCCCTGAATTTTATACTATTAAAATTATTTTTCAGTATAGAATTTTATAGTTAGATTTGTAAGCTCTCCCTGAATTTAAGACTTTAAAATAATCTTAACATATAAAATATCTCAATCAGCATGAAAGAAATAACTTTCTAGAACGCAGAATCCTGGTTATAGAAGTAGAGGCTTGTTGTAGAGGTGTTTCAAAATTGACATGCTTGACTATCAGAAGTTCTGGTTATCAGCCTTGTATCAGAGCTTGATCTGTCATAACTTATATATGTTTGGTTATCGTCAGAGCTTCTATACATCTGGTTATAAACTCTTGGATAACTCGAAATTAAATAAGCTTCATCTGAGAAAATATTTGATTACTGAAAAACTTGGTTAACTTAAAACACGGTGAACTTATTCAAAGTTTCCAGAACAATTAATAAGAGTCAGAAATAAGATTATTAAAGACAAATCTTTGAGTGTCATAATAGGAATAGGTATATCAAAATCATTTTGCTCTTCTCCCCTTTTGTCATCAATAAAAAATAAATAAAGATAAACAAAGTATAATAGACACCGAAATCTCATTTCATTAAATATGCAGAAGCAAAGGTATAGAAGCAAGGTGCATAAATGATAACGAGACTAGAAACACAATAATAAAAACAGGTTTCTAAGAAGGGGGTGGAAGTTTGGATAGAATGACTTGAAGCATCCCTTCAATCTTGTTGTTGGTCACGTCCTCTTCCTTTAGCATCTCATCTTTCTTGTCCAAGCGCGATCTAACAACCGGATTCTTAGTCTTCAGCTCTTGCAGAGACTTCAGTACTAAATAAGGTTCAGAGACTAGGTCTTCAGCTTCCACAATGTCCTTTGTTCCATAAAAGGATCCTAAGATTGTATCTGACGGAGGAGGAGGGTATTCCACAACATGTTCAGGGAGCAGAAAGGTTGGAGGAACCTTCTGAAGCAGAGGTTCAACAATACCAGGGAATCTGACATGGAAGTTCTTTAGGGTATCCTTCAAGCACAAGAAATCCAGCTTTTTGGAACATAATTCAGTCCATTTTCTGAAATTGTTATACAAAGTATGAACTTCAAAGAGGTTTGCATTAGAAGTGCAAACTTTAATGAGAGAGTTCAATCTGACAATAGCCTCATTCTCAAAATACATAAATAATTCATCCAAGGGTGTGAGGCAAATGTTGGTTTGAAAAGGAGTTTGGTCATAATATATATGGGGTGTTCTGTCAGGAATGTCAATGATTTCAATGTTTGACTCATAATCAAAACCGCCAGATTCTATGATAGGAGAGTCAAAATGAGTGGTATTTTATGGTTGATTGATTAGGGATTGAAGAAAAGATGGAATATGTGGTTAAGGTGTAGGTACAATAATGGTTCTAAGGGGTTCATAAAATGATGGTGGTGGAATTTGTTGTTCAAGAGTTATAGTGGGATTTGGATTATTGTTTTGGGGATCATAAATAATGGGTTCAGTGTGAACAATTCTAGAGTGAACTTGTTTAGAAATATGACTGGGTTTGGAGTGAACTTGTTATAAGTTAACTTATTCGGAGTGAACTTGTTCAAAAATATGAGTATTGTTATAGAGGAAGGATGAATTATTATTAGAAGAATGGAAAAAAGTCTTAAAAGGAACAAACATACTTAAGACAGTTCCAGCAGAAAAAGTAGCAACAACTCTTGGTTTTTCAGTAGGGTTGAACACCATTCCAACCTCCTGGCATTGAACACCATTCCAACCTGGGATTCTAGATCTTTGGTGATGTGACCTTTTGCTAGAGAGTTTATCAGCTTACTCTCTATTACAATATCTTAAATCAGCCTTCCAAGGGGAATTCAATTTCTCTTCTTTTTGCTTCCATCTTTGGTTTCCTTCACCATATCCCTTAAATACTGGGAAAAAGTAAAGGGGTTCACTTTTTCTTAGAAGAAATGTATAAAAGAGCATACTGTTGGTTACCATTCTTGTAATCTATAGAATTTGTTGGCTTTTTGTGATTAATACGTCCTAGAAGAATTGTGGCCCAGATTCTTATATGAGGAAGAAGATCCTTGATTTTGTTGGAATGAATTTTAGAAGTGAAAATCATTTTTGAAATCTCAATCAGATTGGAATTTCTCTCCAGCATCTAATAACATCTCTTACCAGACCAATCATGTCCAATGAGTTTGACAATCAGCTTTTTCGTGATGACTG